ACAGTCACAATGTTACCTTTAGCGGGTCCGTTTTTGCACGAAAAAAATGCATGGAGAAACACCTCCGTTTTGCCTCCTTCGGCTTTTTTTTTTTTTTTTTTTTTTTTTTTTTTTTTTTTTTTTTGAACTGTTCATACTTTTTGCAAAGTGGCTAGTTTTTTTTTTTTTTTTTTATGAGCCGTTCATATGTTGCTCAAATTGGCTATTTTTCCCCCCACCCCTACAGTGCGACTATTACAGAGAGTTGTGCCTGACGTGCCTGAAGGAAATAGACAAGATCAACTATGCCGCGGTGCCGGCAAATGTCATGCTGAGGAACATATACGGTTCACTGAATTACAACGTGCTGAACAACGTGGAGGAAGACGAGGTTAAGAAGTATTTGACGAAAATTGCGCATGTGTCCCAGATGAGTGTGTTTAAGAAGTACCTGGAGAGGGTGCTGATCGAGGACATGAAGTACACCAAGGAGATTTGTTCGCTCATGTAGTTCGCTGGCAGTACCCACGAGCACGTGTACGTCTGCGCGTGCACATATGCATTCATGCGTACATATACATGCATGTGTGCGTATACCGTTTGGCGCTCGAGTGGTCGGTCGTGCCCACAAATGTCTAGGCGCATGAGTGCAGCGCCAGTTTGTTTTCGTTTATTTGTTCACTTCATCCTACCCCCCTTTTCGTAATTCTTTCTCTCCCCATATTTGTATACACACCATTCTTCCCCTTTTAATTATTTTATTATATTTTTTTTTTTTGTAACCCTGAATAGTGCACACAGGGGTGTTAATATGGTTTGTATGTGTTTATACAACCTTTAAAAGTGGTAGACATCTCAAAAAGGGATGGAAAATGTATAAGCTGTTCTCAAAAAGGGGAAAACAAAAAAAAAAAAACAAAAAAACGAATTAAACTATCTACCTTATGATTAATCTTTCGCAAAATGTTAATTTTTTATGTGTAAAAAGAGAGCATTACCCGAAAGTATTTTTTTTTTTTTTTTTTTTTTTTTTTTTTTTTTGACCCCTTTAGAGAAAGGCTTACATTTTCCTCCTCCCCTTCAACAGTTTTAAATAAAGACAAATCTAATTATCCAATCGCGCTGTAACGTTACGTGCGAATGGGCGCGCCTTTTTTTCAGGCGTTTGGTGTAACTTCCAACTCGCGCAGAGTGAGCGATAACGCTGGTACTGCTGGTACTACTTTGCATCCCCTTCCCTTCACACGGAGGGAAGAAAGCACCGCGCATGAGGTGTGTTCGTGCACACGGCCATATGTATTTATACACGACGAATCATACCTCCGAACGCTTTCTGTTTTAAGTGGTCCTCCTGGGCTCCCATTTTAGACAAGGCAAAGGACAGGAAGTAAAAAAAAAATGAAACAGAATGAAGCAAAAAAAAAAGGAAATAAACATACAAGTCTAAATGACCCGTATGTGGGGCATTCTTTTTCTCCTTGCGTACTTTCGCCGTGTTCAAGCGTCTAGAGGGTCAACCATTTCGAGAGACGTGTTGTCACCGGCTGGGACGTCATAAGGTCGTTTGTGAAGATATGCTGGTCCGATTATGAAGTCTCATTGGGTCATGCGCACACCCGTTTGTCAAGGGTGAACAAAAAATGAGCGCATTTCGAATATCAGCTAATTGCTCACATTTAAGACTGCGATTTTTTTTTTTTTTTTTTTTCCAAAGTACCTAACGAAGCAGCACGTTGGGTGTGCACCAGAGCTATGCAAAAAAAAAGAGTAGCATACCATTTGAGAGTCCCCCGAAGATAATTTCGCCTCCTTAAAAATTTGCAAATAAGAGGGACAAAAATTAACACACAAATAATACATTCCTCTTCCCCATGGGGCCGCGCCAACTTCGCGAGAAACAATTTCCTCCGTAATATAGCTAAAAAAAAAAAAATTGCTGTACCTTCAATTACGCACATGTGCAGAGGTGTACATATATATATAAGACGCCCCCCCCCTCTTCCTCTTCCTCTTCCCCCCCCCTTGCAACGATCAGGTAGTTACACATGACAGAGGGGAGGTCCCCAAACGGTGATGTGGAAAGGATTGGGAAATTTTCCCCAACGGAAAACTCGAAGAAGTGTAAATGCACTTATAAAAGAAGAGAACTGGAGGGAGGTCCAGAAGAAGAATGGGGAGACGAACAGGACAGGAGTTTAAAAAAAATAAATTCTAATAAGAGCATTTCGGCAGAGACAAAACCACCTGACCTTGTCATACATTATTATTACGCATGGGAGGACATCCCAACAGTTAACAAATTGCCTTATGGTTTAATTGGTAAAGAAAAAAATGCTCTTTGGCAGCGTTACGTGCACAATGTGGGTATCGGTGGGGGAGGTAACATTTGTAATGAGCCAGCCCAGGGGGGAGAATTGAATGTGAAGTGTGAGGTGGTTGAAATGACAAGGGAGGTCAGATTGACTGATGGTACGCAGGATGCTGAACCTATTGTGGGAGAGGTGCACAGCGGGGAGGAAGACTTCGTGGCAACCCTCATATATGAAGACATAGTGGAGTACATTCACAAAATTAAGAAAAGGGGATCCAAGTTGAGGTGCACTAGTGAGCACGTAGAGGCAAACAAGACAAACGAAACACACACAGTGGGAAGTGTACGTAATGATTCCACCACGGGGTATCCCCACCACAGTGTCGACCAGCAGGATGGAGAAGCCAGCTGGGTAGATGATTTTGTAACCCTAACTAACGTAGAAATATTGGCAAAAAATACGAAAATATTTTTAGCCTGGGAAAAGTTGGAGGTTGTCCTTCCATACATAACGACCCAGTGTGGGAGTCCCCGATCCTGTTTGAGTAAAAAAAGTTTTTTAACAATGAAGCATTTGTGTAGAAGCATTAAGGATTATAAAGTAAACGTGTGTCGATATTTCGTAAAGTCCTTCCCCCATGTGGTTCGCAAGATGGACTCCAAGAATCACTTCCTAGATGAGTGTGTCTTTCAGCTGATTCATAATTTTATAAAATATAGCAGTGGGGTGAATGACTACGAAATGCTTAGAGTGATGTGTTCCTTTTCAGATAATAAAAATGCGTGTATTATAAAAAAATTATCTTTTTTTGTATTGTTATTTTTAAAGAATTTGTCCACAAGTGAGTTGGTGAGTCTACCTATTCGAGACTTCGCACCGAGCTTCTTACACTTTATGAATGCCAAACTCGAGGAGACTAAAAGGTATATGAAGCAGACCTTTACACTTCTCTTGACCGTACATAATGAGGACGACTTAGTTTCTTTCCTTTTAGATGGGGCCCCCCAAAAGGGAAATGTATCGTCCCTGGAGCGGGAGATACGGGCCTTCGTGCGGAGTAGAAACTGCGGTGACGCGTGCGAACCTCTCAGGAAGAAGTATGCCACGTTTCACCAGTTCAGAAATGCAAAATCGCTCAGCAAGGCTCACAAGACGTCCTCCTTCGCTTTGTAGAGATGACGGCAGAGCAGTCGTGTGCTCAGTCGTGTGCATAGTGTTACACAGGGGTCACTTTTATATTAACCACGTTTTCGTCCCATGTGGCTGAGTTAAATGTGAGGGGGGGGAGCAAGTTTGAAGTGTAGATCTTCGTAAAGGCTTCTCCCCCTCCTCGTCCTATTTTTTTTTTTTTTCTTTTTTTTGCGGCATGTAAGGATGAAGCAAAAGTGTATCTGTTCCCCACTTTGCATCTGTGGCTCGATCACTGGGGGAAAAAAAAAAAGGAAAAAAAAAATACAATAAAATAAACAACGCGTAGCCGTTGTTGTTAATGTATAGGAAAACACACCCACGGATGAAACACTCCTCCTGAAGATGATACGTCGAATTAAATGATTGTTGCGTTTTTTTCGGGACGCGGCTGTTTATATATATATATATATATATATATATATATATATATATATATAATCATACGCGCAACGGTCGCCTCGCGCAGCACCTCTCGTTGGGCTCTTTTTTTGAAGCATTTTTTTTTTTTTTTTTTTTCAAGTTTTTTTTTTCAAAACAGTTTAAATTTTTTTTTTTTTTTTTTTTCCTGTGGCTTATGGGAGAGAGGCCCTTTGTATAATCCAGCCTCATTTGTAAGTAACGAACTGTCGCGCACAAGGAAGCATGTGCCTGCTACTTCGAACGTGCATGCTTAATATGATTGTGCTTATGTTGTTTAATGCCTAAGCGTACGTAAATGCGAATTCCATATGTGTTGACAAACCTGCAGGGGGAGGAAGTCCTTCATTCGGCAGCAGTGGAGAGACTCTTCTCGTCCTCATCTTCTACGGAGTTTCCCTCGAAACGGCGTTAAGCCCATCTGAGTAACTCTGCAGCCTCTTATCTCCATTTCCAAGTCCGGCCTTTTGTCACTGTGAGTTTTTTTTTTTTTTTTTTGTCACCAGGCCATACCCCCAGATTAATTAACTGGGGAAGCTCAGAGGGGGGAAAGCACACAAGGGGCACCCCCTCCTCCAATAAACACGCACACAATATACTCCCCCCCCGATAGAAGTAAACGGGGTTAATATAAGAGCAGCCAAATTAGTACAGTCACGAAGAAGAAGCAATAAAACGGTTGAGCGCTGAAGGGAAGGACACGGTTGAACGGATTGTTCGAAGAGCATTCCGCGCGTGACGTATCTGCTGCTAAATGTGTAGGAGGGACCTGCACGATATAAACCTGTGACGAAGCCAAACACACACCGCGCACGTGTATGCTGCGCTTCTCCCTCCCTGCCTCTGTCGAGCAATGCCGCTTTCCAAACGAAATTATAAAATTCTTCGCTCCTTGGCGAGGACGGTGGGGAAGCTGTGTCAGTTCTACGACGACAACCAGGTGTGGAAGAGTATGTTGTCGAGCGCCTACAGATATGAAAATGAAAAATGCAACAAGTACAACGACTTTTTAAAGACATATTTAAGTGGCAGTGTACATTACTGCCCCACAAAGTCGAGTAAGAAGAAATTGCGAGGTGAACTGTTTAAATATTTGCGAGCTAATTTGAAGAATGGAGGGAAGGAACACACGGAGGATGTATTCCTTTTAGGTTTCACAGCCATTCGGCATCTTGGAAGGGTAAAAAATTCTTTGCTTTTGGCTCTGTCTTCCACGGGGGATCTACCCATAACACATAGGTACAACCACAGGGTGTGTGTACCCAGGGGGAAGAACATATGGCACAGTGATGAGGAAAAGGATATGTTTAGAAGAAATTTGCACGTGGTGAATTTTGGCTCTGTGGAGCAGGATGAGGTGCATGGGGAAGGATCAAGTGCACAGGGGAAGAAGCGCTCCGGGGCTTACAGGAAGGGGGAATCAGGACAGCCTGATGGGGGAAACACGGTTAGCCAAGTGGGTCGTTTGAGTGAAGCCAGTGGGGGTGGCGAGGCGGACAACAACGCGAGCATCCCTGTTAAACGAAGCAAAAACAGCATCGTCTTGAAGAGAGTGAATCACAAGCAGGAAATAAAAAAAGGGATGATCCTTGTCGCCCATCCACTGACCAGTAGTACCTTGTGGAACAGGTCCATCATTCTAATTACGCACAGGGACAAGAGCAACCTGGTGTGCGGTATCATATTAAACAAGCACCCCTTGTACAATAGCTACATGGGGATAACCAACGAGAAGGAAATCGTGAATATATTGAATAAACTTTACTTGAAGAAGCAAAGTTTTCTCACCGAGTTGGGGGAAGCTAGCGGCGGGGCTAGCGGCGCAGCTAGTGGCGTAGCTAGTGACCCTGCTAGTGGCGCAGCTAGTGACCCTGCTAGTGGCGCTGCGAGTGGAGAGAGCCAAGTGGTGGCCGATAGCAGCGGAAGTGGTGGTAGTGGAGAGGTGGCCAAAGCAACGACAGCCACCTGTCCGGTGGAGGAAGGGAAGCCCCCAATTGACACCGCCCCAATGGATGCAAATCGCGTACAAACATCAGCAAGTAAGGACAACCAGCCGAGGAAGGAAGAAGATGGTCTCGTTCTGTTACAAAATCAGTGCATAGCAAAGGAAGAAGAGCAAAATGTTGTAGAAAAAAAATATCCTGTTCAAACGAGGAGGGAATTGCGATGTGATCACCAAAGCAATAATGATGAGTTTCCAACCCTAAAGGATTTACAAGAAATGTTTTTAAGGATTCAGTTTAGGAGCTCTTCCAAGCACGACACCAACAGACAGAGGAAACAGAAGAATGTTATTGCCGGAGATGGAAGCGCACTTGGTGTTCATGGGACTAAGAAGAACAGTCTCTTCGTAATGATGGATGAACATTTACTTGACATTATTACACACTACATTATTAAACTGAACAAGGTCCCCATTTACCTCAGGTTCCTCCCTTCCTACAACATTGGATCCATCATCGATATAAAAAAAGAAATTAAAAAATTACAATTTTTAAATGAATTTTATAAAATTTATTTTGAACAATATAACAAGTGGAAAGTGGTGGTGATTAATAATCGTATACATATATTTGATAAAGAGAAAAAAAAAAAAAAAAAAAAAAAAAAATTCTCCAATGTGAGGAGTGTACATGACGTGGATGACACTGGGTCTGTCGTCGCGACGGACGCGGTGGGCGAAGAGGGGGCGATGGAAAAGGTGAAGAAGACACGCAAACTCACCGAGGAAGAGATACAAAAGATTCACAAAAAAATTAAAAAATTTCAGGAGACCAATATGTTGTGCGATGATGAAGTGGAGGAGGAGGAGGAGGACAAGGGGCGTAGTGGTGGAGGCGCAGAGGGGTGTGGAAAACGTAAGGACAAGCAAAAAGGGCAAAGAAGGAAGAGCGACGGAAGGAAATCAGGAGCTGTGCAGCAGCCAATGGGCTCAGATGTGCAAGCGGACGACGACAACTACGTAGCGGACGATAACTGCGTAGCCGGTGAAGACCATTCTGCACGGCAGTATGAAGATTATGAGGAGGAGGAGGAGGAGGACGACGACGACGACGAGGATGAGGAAGAGGATGAGGAAGAGGAGGAAGAAGACGATGATGAGGGGGAGGAAGAAGTGGACGTGGAAGAGGAGGAAGGCTACCAACATGAAGAGGAAGAGAGTAGCGACAGAGACAGACTCGCCCATGTACACAACACAACGAAACAGCAGGAGCAGGTGGACAGCGCCACCCAAGTCAGCAAAAGCAAAGTGGACTCCACCGCCAATGGAAGCGATGCAGGAAAAAAGAACCACTTGGAGAGGAACCCCTTGAGCTTCTTCTGGCTGGGAGGACCTCTACCTGGACTAACCATTCTCCATAATATAAAAAAATTTTCCAAAAATACAGTTGTAAATGATTTTATATATGAGGGTTACAACGAAAATGTGAATTCGGTGAATGCATCCGACGTGCATGAAGCGGACAGCAATCCCCACTTATTGGCCACCGAGGATGTACCCCTGGATGAAGCGAAAAAGGAGAACGCCTCCACCCAAGTGCACGACCTCAATGAAGAGAATCAACCAGAGAGAGCAACCTCCCCCCATACGGATCCCATATACTTGGAAGGGGATAACAGCCACAAGGAGAAGACGGGGGAAGCCAGCGGTGAGGAAAACAAACTCGTTAAGAGGTTCATCGGGAAGGCCACATGGGACATAAACCAACTGAGGGACGAACTGAACAATGATTACTGGATTGCCCTCAACTGCCATAGCAAGGAGTTGCTCTCGAGTATTATTTTTAACACGGCAGCAGGTGGTACGGCAGGAAGTGGCGCCGCAGCAAGCGCTAAGGATGGAAGTGGCAAGGATGGAAGTAGCACCCCTCCAAGTGTGTACAAGGGAGAGTTCTTGTGGGAGAAAATCGTGGCCTCCATAAGCAGCGATTACGAAAGCATATCCAACATTCCTCAAGGTGTGGTAGATAGTGTGCTGCGTGATTTCAGGGGCGCGGAGCGTGACTGATGGGGAGGCTAAGCGGGGGACGGGCTCAGCCAAGAATTAATATATTTTAGGGGGGGGGGCCCGCTTTGTCCTGTTCCATTCACGTGTCTACACACACGTTGCTGCGTACATGTTACTACACACACGTTGCGTGCTTTTTCCTGCCCGTGTGGTTGTCCCCTTTTTTTTTTTTTTTTTTCATTTTTTCCATTTTCTTTAAATTCGGTTTGATCCCTGCGGTGAGGAGGCAACGCGGATGTCGTGTAGGGCGCCCCTTTTTGTTTTTTTTTTTTTTTTTTTTTTGAGCATATATATTTTGCCCCCCCGCTCTCTGTGTGTATGGGCTCGCTGATTCTGTGGTAGCCGTTCGTCCGTCCGTTCAGTGAACACGAACATCCTCTCTACAAACAAATACACAAAAAAGGGCATGTTCGTTATGTGAAAACAAACGAACAAGCGTGTCTTCTTTCCAACTCGCTAACATTAAAATTTACCATCGTATGTATAATCAGTATTGTTTAAAAAGTTGTACCCCTTTGAGGGTTTTCTTTTTTTCCCTTCTTTTCTCCACTCCTTGTAGCATTTATAATATCTGCTCCCATGTGACGTACGCGTGGGTGGGTAAAGGAGGAGACGATAAAGCGTTAAGCAATTGCGTCCAAGTCACGACGGTCGATTGAACAACATTACAATTATACTTTTACTGCTCCATGTTGGAAGTGTTCACCGCTTGGAAAAAAAAAAAAAAAAAAAAAGTTTATACGTAGGACGCGACACGCTTCTTAACACGGAAGCGAAGACGCGCCTATTGAGTTAAATCGGTTTGCACCGCTCCCGTCAGGGGTGGCCATACACACACACTGACGAAGAAGTGTGAAGACATTATCAAGCATGGAAAAGGACAAATGAGGCAATACACAAATCGGTGATGTGACCACCTCGTCCAAATATGGACACAAATGAGAATTAAAAGGTACTACAAAAAAAAAAAAAAAAAAAAAAAAAAAAAAAAAAAAAAAAAAAAAAAAAAAAAAAAAAAAAAAAATGAGTTGCCGTGGGGGGGATGGGGAGGCTGACCGGACATGCATGTACAATCATATAAACGCAAACGGGTACCACTTCTAAATCGTGCTACACTACGCGCACTGCTACCACTCAAAAGCAGCGATCCAAGACGACCGCGTGTCCCGCATCGTCGTACTCGGCCCGGGAAACCCAGAGCTGCTGGAAGGTCCCTAGGCTGGCCAGTATGGAACCCCCCAACCAGGAGGAGTACAGATTCTCCACAGACGAAGCCATGTTGAGTATCTTAATTTTAATGGTCTGTGAAAAGCACTCCTTCTCCCTTAGGGAGTTGTAAAGTCTGTCAACGAGGCCAGGGAAGAGAGACGATCCGCCCGTCACAATAATCGCCTGAAGCAATTCTTTTCTTATGTCCACATCAGAGGAGATGACACAGTTTACTATAGCTTCGGGTAGTCCATTAAAATTTTGATCCGATGGAATAGGACGAAATAATTCTTCTGCAATATTATATTTGTATTTATGTGTCTTTATTTTCACTCCATCTGGTAATTCAAAGAATTCATCATTTTCTTCTTCCTCTTCTTCTTGCCCCGTTTTCCATTTTGGTGCATTAACATTTTTTGCTCCGTTATTTGGTTGCCCAGCAATTTCTACCTCTTTTCCATTTTTCAAATTTCCTATTACGTTTTCATTCTTTTTATTAGCGGAGCTATTTTGTCCCACGCGAACTTTGCAGATGCTCTCCTTCATGTAACGAATAACATCCATAATGGCTTCTTCCTCGTAAGAGGTATGTACATTAGGGTGTAGTTTGGCACTTCCCCAACTGCTACCCAAACAGGCAGCCAAGCCGCTACCCCAGCTGCTACCCGAACAAGCGGCCCCCCCGGCGCTCCCCCTCTGCCGCTGCTCGTAGTAGGGAACAACCCTCACCTGGTCCTTCTTCAGCAAGGCATATATCAGGCGGTCAAAGTAATCCCCTCCAATGTTAAACTCAAAGGAGTTCTTCTGCAACACGTACCCTTCATACACAGGAGTTAAATTGAGTGAACTGCCCCCGATGTCCACCACTAGTGCACTACATCGACCTAAACTGAAGGCAGACAATTTGGCTTTCTTCGCAAAATACAAAGCAGGAATGTTAAAAGCTTCAAAAAGTATTTCCGTCATCTCTTCTCTCACTCTGTGATTATGTATGTTTGCTTCAGACAAAAGAATTGGGTGTTCGTTCATTTTTAAATGAAGTCCACCTAACTTGACTGGATTGATAATCTCATCTGAGCACTCGAAGACTCTCTTTGATTCTACTCCTTCAATTCCATGTTGTAGAATTTTCTCGAACACATCACTGTTCATGTGTGTTGTGTTGTCCACTGGGTTTCTCTCGAACAGAGGTTTTACACGCACATGTTCTTCTGCGTTGTAGAGGTTCAGGGGGAATTTCAACTTGGAGCAGCGACCCCCACCGATACTTCTTCCACTTCCAATACCGTTGCTGATGGGGTAACCTGGGGGGGCACTCCCTTCAGGTGAGACGTCCTCCCCGCAGGCACTTCTTAAAAACACCCTGGGTGTGTCTTCCTGGTTGTGGCCAATTTTTGTCGTGCAGAACCCTAAGTCGACGACGAGCGCCGAAATGTCCTCTCCCCCACACAGCAGGTTTTCGCCCACATCATTCTTCGAGTTCATCTTTTGTTTTCGTTGCGCGTGTGTCCCTGGGCCACATCATCTCTCAAGAGGGGAAGGAAGCCAAGTTCGGTAACTCCACCTCTTTTTTTTTTTTTTTTTTTTTTTTACCACTTATGTGGGAGAAGCACTCCTACTTCTTAAGCGTTGCTGACTAGCGGAGAGTTGTTATCACTTTTACAATTTTGACTCTCCTCTCCTTTTTGGTTGCCTCTTGTTTTTTTTTTAGCTAGCCCCTCAGCGCGTAATGCTTTACACGTAACGGCACATATATCGTGTGCCTTCTCTGCTTAGCTTTCAACTTTGAAATTATTTTTCTCTTTTCCTTTCTCTTCGCCTCTTTTTTGGAGCCTATCTTTTTTTATAGGAGCTTCGCAAACAGGAGGGTGGGGGTGCGGGAAAAAGAAACGCCTTACACGCGTTGTTGTTACGGAGCCATTTTCTCGAGAAGCTCCGTCACATTATTTGTTCGTTTCGCATTGTTGTATTGTGACCAGGTGGGGCACCGGGCAGATGCGAACATGCGCACATGATGGGTTAGGGGACTGCCCCCCGGGGGTGGGGTACATGTGAAGCGGTGTTTATGCATACAACATTGGGAAAAAAAAAAAAAAAATACTACATTAAGGATCACATTTGTAATTGTACCAACTTGGCAAATTTCCTTTTTTCTTTTCTTTCATTTTCTGTATGGAGGTATCCCCTCACATGTGTAAAGCACACTGAGGTATATGAACGTGGGTGATATATAACCCTCCCCTCCGCCGCATGTTCCCCGAAGGGGTGTATAGCAAATGCGTACTCGATCGAAAGGGGGACTTCCAACCATTTCGCCATTGTGGACCCACAGAGATAATTGCTAAATGTATGTGGAGAAAATGGATAAACAATAAAGGAGTCATCCCAAACCAGCGCTACAGCTGTTTTTTTTTTTTTTTTGTTTGTTTATGGATTGGGATGCGCTAATGGGAAGAGCTGATCTGTAAATGCATATTTTGGACGTGCCCTCTTTTGAGTGCAATTCGTTTGGGTGTAAAACTCTACGTATGTAGCGTTAGTCCGTTCCACTTTTTTTAACACCACGTACAGAGAATTTTACGTTATTCACGTGGGGGAAGGAAGACAAAGTGATTACCTACATTGGCCGAAATAAATTCGAGCATCGTTCACGTGCGTAGTTAACGCTCCACTGTTTGCTATTTAAATCGTCCGTTGGGTTTTCTCTCCAAGTAGTAGTACATCCGTATCACTGCAACATAGTGGGGCTCTTTATGCCCTCGTAACTCGAAAGAGTACACAAAAAGGTGCGGGGTGAACGGTGTGGCATTCGTTTGGAAGTTCTCATTTCTGGTTAGCGGCATATCAGGCGGAACACGTACACAGGTTTGTAACTCCTGTCTGCTACTTGCACATGTGCAACTTCATTTTTCCCGTTTCAAGGAGTAACTTCGTCAACTGGGGACTCCACTCAGAAGGGGTTAGTAGGTTTGTACCTTATCCCAAGTTAGCAATAATTTCCCCAAAGCGGAGATAGTCCTTAGTGCTGTTGTTCGCTTCTTTGTGTGTAAACACTATTGTAGCCATTTTGCAATTTTATAAAAATGTATGAACAATTTTTTTTTTTTACCCCATTTTGGCAGTATTTTGCCTGACTCAGCAAGGTAAAAAGGATAAAAAAAAAAAAAAAAAAAAAAATAGCTATAAAACGGATCTGCAACGGAGTGGCTACCTCCCGCAATAGCTATCCCCTTTTTTGTTCTTTTTTTTTGCTCCTTTGTTTCCCGCTTTTTTCTTCCTGTTTTGCTTGTTTTTACTTTTCTCCACGCAACATAAGGATTTTCCAAATAGTCCAAGTGTTGTAGACACATATTTTGCTAACCTTGTCCGTTTGGTCAAGACAGAGGTGAAACGCCGTGTGGGATGTGGTGCCAGGTGCCAAAGGGAGGACTGTGTGAATGGACACAAAGCAGAAAACAACTTCCCAAGGCAACCCCTGCGCATTCACGCACACGTAGTGGAAAAAAAAAAAAAAATGATTTCCTTTTTCACGCATACATTTGTACCCATTTTGACGTAAAAAAGGTTAAAAAAATATATATATAATTTAAGAACAACCAAGACGCGCAAAAGAGTAGCCCATTTTGCAAAAAGACTTGTGATCAATTCTGTGCATCACCCGGGCTCCCCATGTGAAGAACAAAAAAAAAAAAAAAAAAAAAAAAATACTCATATGCACATGTCTGCGTGAAACACAAACCGGCTTCTACATAGACGCGCAGGAGGAAAGCTACATACCAATGCGTTTGGTGCAAAAGGAAATCTGTCTGGGATACTTTGTCTCTTCGCCATTATGAAAGCCGCGGAAAGGAATGCGCACGTGAGTAATCGGAGGCCGCCGTTACTGGTGACGAAAAGGAAGGGAGCTAACCCCACTGGCCATGCAAGACAGAGCAGCTTCAAAAAACCAACCGCAGAAGAACGAAAAGATGCACTGCAGATCAACATTAAAAGAGCCGACACCGCAAACATCACCGATAGGACGGTAAAGGAAAAAGACACCCCAATGATGCTCCATAAAAGTGACAAGAAGAAAGACAAAGCGGTGAATGGGAAGAAGAAGGATAAAGGAATGCACAATGCTACACCTCCCCACCTGAGTAGAAGCCATAGAAAGAACAACACCGGTGTGGAAAAGTCACATGTGAGGCCTTCCTCCCCCCACTTGGTTGAAAGTCACCGCAGTGAAGAACCACACCACCCAGTAGTAAGTGGCAACGCGACAGTTGTGGAGACTTCCTCGAGTAAAAAGAAGACGACCCACTTGGGTAAAATTAAAAACTCAAAAAGGTACACAGATTTTAACAAGGGGAAAAATATTAACGAAGAAAAGGAAGGAATAAAAAGTATTGTGACCTCATGCGAAACGAGAGTGAATTGTCAAGGGAACAGTAAGCTTCCTCAATGCGCACCACTCATAGAGCAAGGTCCACAAGATGCACCTGATCCAACCATTCTAGGTTCAGACAAAATATACTCAAATAATGATATAGACATTATGAACCTTTGCATAGAAGACGAAATGAACAGAAAAGAAAAAATTCAAAATTTAAAAAATAAAATTTTAAAAATGTATAGTGACTTATTTCTACACCATTTTAGGAGGAGCCAAAAGTTGGTAAAATCGAGTGGAAATGCAAATTTGAATATTTGCCTGAACAGGGAGAGTGTGCATAGCTTCCTTCGCTTGACTTACAAGTATGCAGACTATGAGTACTGCATGGGTTGTGTGATGGTGTTGCTGCTTGATCGGTTGACAAATGCGGAGGTGGAGTTGTCTCTGGGGGAGAAGGACGATTTGGAGAACGCTGTGCGAGCGTACAACTATCACACGTTGGTGGCCTACCGAGGTACCTTCAAGGCATACCACAAGTGCGCCTCGAACAGTGGCACTAATGAAGATTGTAACAGTGACCACGTGAAAGTTGTTCATGATGTGAAGGACGTGCGATATACGCATGACGGGGATGATGTGTCCACGAAGAAGACTCTCCACAACGGGAAAAGAAAAAACATTTGCAGAAGCATCCGGGCCATCATAAAGGACAAATTTCTACTCAACTGCGAAGCAATAATAAATGTAGTGAACTGTATTATCTGCACGATTAATGAAGAGAAGGAGAAAATATATTACACGCACCTCAACGCAAATCAGTACAGAACTATTTCAGACATCACCGAGACGGGGGTGAAATATAAATATGAACAGCTAGCTGGAGAGACTTATAAAAAGGCTTTTGAATTAGCACAAGTGCATTTAGTACCAACGGATGTACATTTTTTGCAGCTAGCTAATCGTTATATCTCCTTCCTTTATTACAATGTGGGGCAAGAACAGCTGGCCCTAAAAATCTGCACGGGGGTGTTTGATCGCACGGCCAATGAGCTGGGCAATATTATGCAGGACCAGGGGGAAGCGGATAGGTGTCTCCATATTTTGAGCAGGATGCGCTACAATATAAAACGCTGGTCGAGGAAGCTTCACGGGAACAGCATCCTCTTCCTGGACTTGTAACCAGGGGGAGGTTAGCGTCCCCTCCACTGCGTTCATGATGCTATACTGCGTGTGAGCACGTTGCTTAACCTTTTGCAAATTTTCGTGCGCATACCGTCGCAGCGGCTAAGCAACGTTGGGAATTTTTTTTTTTTGTCCATTTGGCCACTCCCCCGTTGTAACGACAAGGAGAAGTCACTTTTGTTAACAAAAAAAAATTCATTTCTCTAAAGAACCAAATGGGACATGTGTGTGTTTGTGTGTCTGGGTCTCCCTTTCGAGCGAGAAGGTAAACAAAAATGCCTTTTTAAAATGTTCATAAAAAAAAAAAAAAAAGTTGCACCGCTCAGCGGAGGGGGGAAAACGAAAAAAGGGAAAAAAACAAATGTAGGGTGACAAATGGGGAGCAACAAATAGTGACTGGCGAGGGGGAAAGGTAAAAAAAAAAAAAAAAAAAAAAAGGTTCCCCTCGCGTGTTGGAAGATGCCCATGGGTCGACTCGGCTACTGCGCTGACCCGCTTCTAGCACTCCTCGGTCGGGACATCGCCCATCAATTCCTCCTTTTCACCCGACTCTGCCGCCAACTCTTCTTCCTCGCCTGACTCTACCGCCAACTCTTCTTCCTCGCTCGATTGTGACGCCAATTCCTCCTTTTCATCGGACTGTGGCGCGACTCCCCCTGCGGCGTGCGGCGCCCCGTCCGGATCGACGTAGTACGGGATCTTGCCCTTGATCCAATCATTAAGAATGATCTTAGAGACGGAGGTGATGTCCGGCTCGCCTCCCTTGAGCAGCTTGCCCATTTTCCTGGCCAGGATTTGCAGAAACTCCTCGGAGTTTTCATATTGCAAATCTTCAGGAAGCTTATAAATGCGAAGGAGGTGTTCCTTGTCGACCATTTTAAAAACATCATCAATATAAAAATGGGGGTTGGTGATTTTTTCTAGCCTCATGGTACATCTGAGAATTTTTTCTGAATCCTCAATGTCGTAGGGTACAATTCCGGGGCAGTCGATGAGGTAAATTTTGCTCGTTAATTTTATGAATTGCCAAAACTTGGTCTGTCCAGGCACACAGGCCGAAATACAAACGACTTTTTTTTTTAAAGAGTTGATAATGGCGCTTTTTCCAACATTAGGGTAGCCAATCAGTCCGATATGAACATGTTTCTTCCGTTGGTTTTGAAAAAACTGAGTGTATTGTCTAATAACATTGAACAGGTCATTTTTACCAAAGGGTTTGTTTATGCTAGCATGGTAAGCAATGGTTGGGTATTCTTTCGATAAAATTTTGATCCATTTTTGAGCCACACTTGTTGGTACTAAATCTACTTTATTCATAATAAGAATAATATGTTTATTTGGTCTGTCTTTTTTTAAATTTTCTTCTAGCCTTCTGCATCTAGTTCCTATGGGATCACGTGCATCTAGAACCTCCAAAATGATATCCGAGCTGTCGATGACTTTGTACAGCTCTGTCCATATTCTTTTGGACTGCCCAATTTTGAGCAACAGATCTTTACTGAATTTTTTTTCCACATCTTTGTTCCTGCTCTCAATTAGTGAGTTGTCCTTGTCCGCTTCATAGTTGGTTAATTTCCTTTTCGCATCATCTGCCAATTCTTCCAAGCTGCCGACATTTAATTTTGGTCTCTTCCTTTTTTTTTTCTTCCCGTACACGTCCTGAAAATTTTCCATCCTGAGCATGCTTTCGCTCTGATGTTTTTTTTTTTCAAATTGGGGGGGGGGAACCAGTCCGTTTGCACTCACCCCATGTCCACTACCTCCTGCGCCGCCCCCCCTGAGAAGCTCGACCGGGATTTTGGACCTCTTAATGATGACGCTGAATGGGTCATGTGTGGCCTCCTCCATTTTCTCCCTAAAGATTTCGAGCTTGCTCTGGCTAATGGTCCTGGTGTTGTTAAACCACTTTATATTAGGCTCAATCCTCCTGACTTCATTTATCTTGGTGTTCATTTTTTTCAAGTTTGCTTTCGTCCTGTACATTTTGAGCCTCTTTTGCTTCTCGTCATTTTTCCTCTTCGCCTCATCCTTGCAGATCGACTTCCCATCCACCTTCACGTTTCCCACGGAGCTGCGCCCGATTTTCAGGCTGCGCAGCTTCAGGCTCCCCTTCTTAATCATTTTGCGTGGGGAGGAAAATATATTGCTAGACAAATGTTGACGTGGTCGCGGAGAAACAACTCCCCACTGGACATGTAAATGAATTTAGTGACTTTTTTGGGGGGGATATGTGGTTGTACCCACTGCGAAGGGGGGGGTTGTCCTAGCAGCTTTTTTTTTTTTTTTTTTTTTTTTCCCCAACGTGTTACATATTTCGATAACGGTACAAATAACCTGACCGACCCATTGCGCATGCCCATCATTATTGCGAGTGGAAGAGGCGACTGACCCTGATATGGTAAATAAAAAAACGTAGAATGCCGTGCAGTGTTGGGGGAATAACCAATTTTATGTAGCAACGGTGGCTTTTCCGAGAATGATCAACAAAATGGCGAATAAAAAGAGGGACGTTTCCACCGTTCATCTGCAAAATAAGGTTATATATTTTTTTCCCTCAACTGTGAGGGGGTGAATAATGAAGGAGTTACATGAGAAGAGTACTTAATAAAAATTTACAGTGGTGTTCATTTCCTGTGCATTTTAAAGGGTTTCATTATTTCGCATTTCGCCTGCCCCGCACAAAGGAGGTTAATTTTTATGTCGTTATTTGTTTGGGGACTCCAACACGTAGTTAACTACAGCACGGTAAAACAAGTGTAAGTACACCTTGCAACTTGTGTGGCATCACCGGTGGGGCCATGACAACGCCATGTCGACATTGGCAACATTGTGGAAATAGGGGGGGCGAGCGCGAAATGGTAACAGGGTGGACAAGACAAAATAGAAACACTGGAATGAGTGACGTGATCAATTCTGTAACCTGTGTAGCGCCTTCCAAAAGTTCGTAATTTTTGCACCCCGATTGCGAATAATTATGAACTGTTCATACAAAAAGGGGTAAAATGACCAAAATCGCTTGAACGGTGCAGGCATTTTTGCCATTGTTGTTGTTACTACAATTTATTTTATTTTTTGCAATAATGTGAATTTCTAGTGTACCGGTGACCAGCCCACACTTGCACTCGCCTGTGTGGCCATTGTGTGATATGCAAAGTGGCTGTTGGTTTTTCCCCGTCGCTTGTGCCCTCCATCAATGGAAGCAGTTATAAGGCCGAAAGAAACGTTTTGGGGGCGACGTCGATTTTATTCCCACATTTGTCCTTCGCACCTGTCGTAGGGGGGTATGTTCTTTTTTTTTCTTTTTTGTTCTTACCATTCCGCTTATAAATATTTCCATGCCCCTCCCCCTATGCACAGAATGTGTCCACTGCGTGCCCGCGTCGTTTTCCGCTCAACATGTGCAACAGGGGCGAGCGGCACGCGCAACGGATGTGCAGTTTCCTCGCGTAGTTGTCGCCTACGCATACGTGCGCATGTGCATATATGTGTATGCAAGTGCCCTTGTGCACGCAATATGAATGCAAAAAATAACCTCTGGTATTTTTGCCAACGAAGGGCAGACACAAAAGAACACTGTCCCGCGCATTCTATATACACACCCTATGGCATTCCTCTGCACGAAAATGTATGACAGAAAAAAAAAAAAAAAAAAAAAAAAAAAAAAAAAAAAAAAAAAAAAAAAAAAAAAAAAAAAAAAAAAAAAAAAAAAAAAATTGAAATAAAATCAGAATAAGGCAAATCAGATTGGAAAAAAACGTAGAAACAAAATTCTTCCTGCCTCTTTTGTGCATTTTAACCCTGTACTTATGCGTACCTGCGGCGCATTAGTCACGCGCAGAAATGCTAGCGCCACGACGCGATGATGCGGGGGCGACGATGTAATGAGGGCGCAGTTTTAAACAGCAGCACGCAGTTGTTCCCCCCGTGGAAGTGTTGTCCCTTTTTAACCGATCGAACACACAAAGTTATATTATCCTCCCCTTTTTCACTGCGCCATAAACTTACACCTCGCGATTTTCCAAATTCCCTGCGCGCACCTCTGTGTCGAGAAAACGCAGGAGGGACCCATTTTGTTTTTGGAGGACGCCGCGGAGTTTCCATTAACAGTATCCTTCGGTACCCAACCTGTGATTTGTTGACCCGTTTTGTTGGCCCCCCCCCCCTTTTACATCTTCCGTGTATTTCTTTCTCCTTTTTTCCTTCCACACTGACCTTTGCACAACTTTTTGCCCGCGCCTTGGATGTGACTAGCGGTAGCGCGTTAGCAAGCACGAATTGCAGGCCACACATTACCGGTTGAGACCTGCAAGGGACAAGCGCGCGAAGGACGAAGCAAAGGCCCATGTTAATGCAAACCGGCAGGGGGGTAGGCGTACATCTGATGAAAATCTTCATGTCATCCCGCGTAAACAACCCCAATCAAGTAGCAAGAAAAGGTCTGCAAAGAGACCCCAATTTTAAGTTACCTCCTCCACACACACGTAAGGCCAAGTAGAGAGCGCATGTGTGAAAATATTTTCCCCCCCGAGAGATGCCCCTCCACATCCATATCCCCTTCCAGATGTAGACACACATAATTGGATACAGCGATTTGAAAAAAAAAAAAATTGCACAGCTATAGTTGGTGTAACACGTCTGTGGTGTAAATACGGCCAAAATTATTTATATATATATATTTTTTTTCTGCGTGAATAGCATCACCTGGTCGGTGTCGCCCATGAAGTTGCTGTTGTGTCGGCAGGGGGGCGGGGTAAGCGGCGTGGGGGACCTCCGAGTGCAAGTGCGAGCTCGGGGGATAAGGTGGGGAGGCGACGAGACGAAGGGGCGAAACACCGGTTGGAGTAGGAGAAGTGCAAAGGACGATACACTCCATATGGGGGGGAGTACTGCCATTGGTGACGAAGGGGAAGGGGGTGAGTTGGCTACTCAGTTGAATTACCCCCCCGGACAGAGAACCGCAAGGGAGGCGACACGAAGTACCCCCCGTCACCCCCCAGTCGAAGGAGTTAAAAACTGTTTCGCCCACTTCCATTCCGCAGACCCATTTGCGGGTTGCAGCAATGGGGTGGAGCGTCAGGTGGGGGAATCGCGAAACCCCCCCTGTAGAAGCACTCGTGCGCTTGCAGTCCTTCATATGTATTCCCACCAAGGAGAGAAGAATAAGTCGAGTTGCTTCACAGGAGGCGACCCACTAATAAACAGCGCTGATTTGTCAAGTGAAGGAGGAAAAGGGTCGTGCATGCCCACGAGCCACAGTCGCCAAGTAGTAGGTAACCCCCCTGCTAGAGTCATGAACATAATTAGACGCAAAATAGGGCATACGACAGAAGGGAAAAAAAAGTTCACATGCATGGACCATTCGAACTGCTCCGCGTGCTTGTTTGTGAAGAAGGTCAACAGAGCGTACAGGTGCATTAGGAAAAGCGGGGTGGGTCACCTTGACCACTGCGCCATTGGCAAGCATAACGAACAAAAGGACACAACGTCCTCTCGCATGGAAGACGGTGTTTCGAAAAAGAGGGGCATTCTTCGAGGAGAGCAGAGCAAAAACAGGGGGAGCCACAGGAAGGTAGGGTTGCGGGTGCAGTGGGAGGATGGTTCGTCTGGCCAAGATGAGCGAGGAGATACATGTGATGGTAACTCAGATGGTGCGTCTGACTACGCACAGTTTCGCATCGATGGTGGGGAGGAGAAGGGGAAAGAGCTCTCCACCCCTGGAGGATCTGTCCCTAAACGAAACAGTGCTGGAAGTGAAGAAGAAACTATGGAGGATGTTTGTGCAACATGTTTTGGAAGAGGAGGACCCCCGCAGCAGAGCGATCTCGTAGGAGAATGTACATACAGCGAAGTCGATGCGTACATGCACGTGTTCAGGGAAAATTTAGACAATTCTACCATGGTGGATGACATGACCGATTTGCAGCCAATCCATGTGGCAACCAAAGAAGGAAATATGGAGTTAGTGAAAAAAATGATTAGGTCGGGAATTTATATAAATAGTAAAACGAAGACGAGGAAATTTACTCCGTTGCATTTGTCTGCATCCAAAGGGGATCTAGACTCTGTTCAGTTTTTAATCGAGCACGATGCAGATGTTAATGCTCTTTCATGTGACAATGAAACACCTCTGTGGTGTGCCTCCATGGCAAATCATCTTGAAGTGTGTAAATACCTTTTAACTCACGGTGGTTTACCTAATTATAAGACTGGAGGGAAGCAGTACGACTCTCCTTTGCATGCAGCGTCCATGATGGGCCATTTTGAAGTCGTTAAATTATTAACAGAATATGGGGCTGATGTAAGTTGCTTAGATTCAAACCAACTGGAGCCACTGCACTACGCTTCATTTGAAGGACACAAAGGAATTGTGAAATACCTCATGTGGGAACAAATTCGAAAAGCCGTTCATACAAAAATGGAAGAGGTTATAAAAGCTATGCACAAATATGGGGTGTACTCCAAAACGTTAGAAAAATATTACTCTTTAAAGTGTAAAGCATTTTATAAAAAAAAAGTTACGAGTAAAATATTGTGTTGTGCTATTACTTCAGGCAAGGACAAAATCGTTGATGTAATTTTGAGGAGAGGGGCTGATCCAAATTACTTCGACGTCCGATTGCAACTGTTCCCTATTCATGCTGCTTCCATCACAGGCAATTTGAAAATATTTAAAAGTTTGGTCAGGAGGGGTGCAAATATTTATGCGACAACGGGATGTAACAATTCAGCCATGGACTTGACTGAAGACGTGGAAATTAAAAGATACATATTGCAACACTCGAGAAAAATTAATTTGAGGAATGCTTGGCTGGTCAGGGCACGGAACAGTGCCCACGTCCTCTCTCGCCTTTCCCCAGACGCCTTTTATTACGTGTGTACATTTTTGTGATATGCTTATACGCTCAAAAAAGGGTAAGAGGCAATGTAATGTGAATTTCCCTCCGCTCATATGTGAGAATGCCTCTAACCTTTCCATCTTCCCGCGGTGTGAAACCAGGGAAGCCAACCACCCTTTTTTTTAAGATTCTCACTAATTCACCTTCATCGATTTAATTTGTTCAACCTGTCTCTCCAGTTTGTGATTCACTTGTGATTCGTTTTGCCTGCATGCTTTTCTGATTCAATTTGTTTGTGTTTTTAACCCCCCCACGTTACCAGCGGCATTCATTACCGTCCACGTTAGCAGCGGCATCCCTATACCGTCCACTTTAGCCATTTTTTTTTTTTTTTTTTGTACATGTGTGTGTGTGCCTTTTTTTTTTTTTTTCATTTCACCTGACCTGTTCAGGCAACTCATTTTTGTAAGCATAAGCAGAATGGGAAAAAAAACAAAAAACAAAAAACATGTTGGTCAAAGGCGGAGCTTCGTTATCGTTCCCTCCTTGGGGCATACGTATATGGGCTATATTCATGTGTACACTTGATGCCTGTTCCAAGGGGGGGGATTTCCCAAGTGAATAACTCCTCCTCCTAGCCTCTGGGGGGAAAAGCAACCCGGACGTGCTTTCCTCCTTTGCATGCATTTTAAAGGTTACCCTTATTTGATTATTCCCCCATGGCTGCTGCTGTTGCAAATATATATACCAATATGTGCGGTGCGCTGAACTACTGTGGACGGTGCCCCAAGGGCAACGAGTCTGACGCACAGTGAGAAAAATTTCCCTACGCGTGCATCGAAGCCGCAAGATAACGCGTCGCTTTTCCTTCCCACTCTTTCTCCCTCCCTTTAAGACTGCCAAAATGAGAGGCCCCAGTAGGGGGAAGCAGCCACGTTGAAGGAGTACCAACTGGAGAATGTACCACTTCGAAGCAGTGAATTTAAGTGAACGCACAGCTTCGTGGGTTCCTGCTAAGTAAAAGGAAGGGGAGCGCAGGACATTCATTTATTCATTCGCTTATTTATTGGCTTATTTATTTTTTTTTTTTTTCATTTTAAATTTTTTATTTCATCATTTTATTATTTATTTAATTATTATTTTTCCGGCTTTTCCCTCGTCCATGTAAGGGCGATTCCTTTTGTGAGTCGGCCTCGCCCCTGCACAGCTACGCTAAGCTAAACTAAGCCAAGCCAAGCAGCGCGGGAGGTGAGCCTGTTTTGTCCGCTCCATCCTGCCGCACATCTCTTGTTCGCCTTTCCTGTGGTGCTCCCTCCCGCTAGTGCCAATGTCCGAAGTGTATAGCATCGAGCCCAAAACGTCTGGCAGGGTAACCATCTACACCAGCCTGGGCGACTTGGAAATCCTCCTGTTTTGCAACGAGTGTCCGGTAGCATGCCAGAACTTCATTCAGCTTTGCCTGAACAACTACTACAACGGAAATAAATTTTTTCGAATCATTCCCAAGTTTTTGATCCAGACGGGGGACCACACGAATACGGGACTACGTAAGGGCGCCTCTCCAATCCACCGGCCGGCCAGCAGGCCACTGGGCAGGCCAGTAAATGTGTATGCGTGCGTATATATGTGCCTCCGCCCACACGCGTCACCGCCCCCCCCCACCGCCTCTATACCCACGCAGACAACGAGTACGCCTTCAAGGAACCGTTCCAGAATGAGTGCAACCGGCGACTGAAGTTCCTGTACGCGGGATGTGTATCCTTCGCTAACCTTAATATAGAAAAGCCATCCAATGGAAGCCAATTCTTTATCACCTTGGACAAGGCAGAATACCTGAACAATAAAAGCACTCTGTTTGGGAAGGTGGCTAAACACAGTATCTACAATCTCCTCAAGTTCAATCAGATAAAAACGAACAAGAAGGATGAACCGATAGAGGATGCTCCATACATTCAATATATTAAAATTGAGGAGAACCCATTTCACCACTTGGTCCCTTATGCCAATTATGAGAAGGAGGTGAAGGAAAAGAGGCAGCAGGACACACGCCGGGAACCGCCCAGCGAAGTGAAGAAGCTCAGGGGAAACTTGCTCTCCTTTGGCTACGACGAGGGGGAAGAAGCATCTGACGGGGGAGAAGTCGCTGACGAGGGAGAAGCTACTCATGAGGAAGAAGCTACTGATGAGGGAAAGGCGCAAGGGGCGAGGTACGGCCCATCGGGCGACCTGCCCACCGAGAAAGACGGAACGAACCCAGAAGCGCCCCCCGCAGGAGAACCCCAAAGGAGGACATCCTTAGGATCGAGTAAAAGGGAAAGCAAAATGGTTGAGGACAAAATTGATAAGTTGAAAAAAAAAACAAACGACATTGAAAAGGAGAAAGGGAAAAGGAAGGAAAGGGACATTGCAGCGAGGGACCTGGGCACCTTGGTGAGGACAGACGTTACACGCCTTATGCAGGCACACATATATATATAATAATGTGTACCGCTTAGCAGCTTAATAATGGAAGGTGTTGCGAAGCTGGGACGGGGGGGTCGTTCCGATGGGCACCACACGCTCTTATTGCCCATTCGTTCATCTGCTCTCTTTTTTTGTTTTTTCCCTTCACCCCGCAGGATGAGTGTTATTTGAAGAAAATCAGGAAGTACCATAAAATGTCCAAGCGTGAGAGGGAGAAGCAGGTTAGCGGCGGAGGGGTCATTTACACGCAGCGACAGTCACGCGCACGCGCGCACACCCCTTTTAATCGCTGCCCCATTTTTGTTTAACTCCTTCCCCCCCTTTTATAGTCTCTGCAAAAATTGGAAGAATTCGATAACAGGCTGAAGGGGCTTTTTTCCCATGACGGTTAGCAACCAAGGGGCGACCTCCGTGTGGTTTTTGTTCGGCTTGCTGGTCGAGCTGTGTTCCGCAACAGGAGTGTAAGGAAGAGTGCCTCTCTCCCTGGCACAACTGTACGTCTTCCTCGCACATCTGCACCTTTGCCCTTCTCCAGGAGAAACCACCCAAGGGATGAAGCATGACTGGCTGAACACCCAGGGGTTGAAATTCCGGATTGACTCCGCCAATGTAAAATTTTTTTTTTTTTTTTCACAAAACTGTTATCGCGTGCGACATGTGTACCTGTACATGTAAATGAATATGTACATGTTTTTTTTTTTTTTTTTTTTTGCCAGGCATACGAACATGAAGACATAAAAAAAAAAGTAGGCATTGGAGCCAGGGCGAGTTGTTCTACGTGTGTTTGGAGACACCAACATTTTTTTTTTTTTTCCCCATGTGGAATGCCACCCGCCCGTGACACATGTTCCTTCCCTTCCTGCGTGCAGGTGGTTAATCCAATGGACAGTGAAAACAAACGTCCTTATGATTCAAAGTTCAGCATGGAGGTAAATTTTACACCTGAGAGTGTAGAAAAAACATACGGCACAAACGCATGTGTATGTGTGTGTAAGGGTTGCCACTGTGACCGGTATATGATGGATACAACGGTTGACCAGTTGTCATGGTTGCATTTCCGCGTTGTTATTGCTTCCTTTTTTTTTTTTTTTTTCCTGCGCAGAAATATATGAAGGAGAAGCGGTCGAAAGAACACCCCGCGAAGTAGCGATTGGGGACGAAAGAAACGAGAGAAATTAAAAAAAAAAAAAAAAAAATTGTCCACTCTATATGAACCACACTGAGTATACTTGGGCAAGTGTATATGTGTAATTATTTGTGTTTTCCCCCATTTGGCATTTTTCCTCGTTGTCCCATGTTGTGCTTTTGCTTCGCGTCGCTTTGTTGTTATTTGTTTTTGCTTATACTTTGCGCCTTCTTTGCTTTTTTTTTTTTTTTTTTTTTTTTTTTGTGTTTCCCCTTGTGCGGGACTCCCAATATTGCTTCACCTTTTTTACAATTTTTTTAAACCGCAAACTTCCGCGCCGAACAAACAGAAAAAAAAAAAAAAAAAAAAAAAAAAGTGCATTCATTGACATGCACATATTTTGTGTGAAAAAAAGGAAAGTAGAGTTTTCTCCTTCCTCTATTTTCTTCCTCGTCGTTGTGCTTTCTATTTTTCCTTTTGCAAAAACGCGCAGACGCACAAAGCGCATGTCGCGAGTGGCTCCCTACCCCCCGTCACGTGTGTACAGCTGTCGCTCGTCCGCACACCCGCAGGACAATTCTACGTGGCGATTTGGTTTGTCGTGACTTTACTCCGTTCAGTTTGATCACATTTTTTTTTGCTTTCATTTGACTCTGTTTGGGTTTCCTTTTTTTCCTTTGTTTCCTTTTTTTTTCCTTTTTTTTTTTTTTTTTTTCTTTTTCCGTGTGTGCCATCTCGCCGGTCCGTCCCAAATGGAAGATGTAAAGGTCAAGGACACCGTCATGGTATATGGCTACAAGGCCACAATAGAACACATACAAGAGGTTCAAACGGGAGAGGCTTCCCCTGAAAAGAGAAAAATTTACGCAGCCAAATTTAGCAGTAGGGATGGGTACTCAGATGGTGTGTATAGGAACGAACGGGTGTTCACTCCGGAAGATGGAGCCCTGGTCGTTTTCTGTTTGCGCGATTCGATTAGACCTTTCAATGGTATCATTTGCATCTGAGCCTTTATCTGGGGGTAATTCCCCCCCCCCCCTTTGTTGGTGGAGCTCGAGCGGTTAGACGCCGCGATTAGGCATCCCTTGTGTGTGTATCCTTTTCTCATCTCTTACTTCTTTGTTAGCATCTTTATTTGTACTCCCCACACACACACACATATAACCTCTCCTTCATGCAGAAACGGAAAGTGCATGCATAAGAATCCAAAGGGTGTTCAGAGGACACAGAGCCAGGAAGGAATTCCACACGTTGGTCTCCTCCCTGGTGTGGAGAAAATTTGAACACCTGCACGAAAACATGACCCTTCACAATCATGAGTAAGGGATGAGGAAGCGCTTGCCAAGCGTGACACGGGAGAAGGGGGGCATCTCACTCCAGTATGCATATTCGCACAGCCGTGTACCCATCACTGCTCTTTTATTTGTTCACCACCACCCCCTACACACACTTCACCCCGCAGCGAAATTTATAAGCCCCTCATCAAAGTAATAAATGAAGACATAAAGAATGGTAAAATTCAATTCACCTCGAAATGCTTTTCTAGTAATTCGAATCAGTTCTCTCGGATCTCCACGACGTCGTACGAGGTAGGATTTGAGTTTGAGGAGAGCATGCCTGTTCCCCCCCCCCCTCTGTCTTTTTTACAAGGAAAGGAGGAGGTGGGGGAAGTACGCATGGATGTCTACCTCCGAGTAACCACTGTACAAACTTTTCGCATGTCCCTCCCCCTGCAGTCCAACACGTACGATGAAAATGTTCCGAAGCTGAAGGGCAAAATAGACAAAGCCTTCGCAATGGAGATTTTTCATTTTTTTTTAACAACCAAAAATGTAAGCGTCTTGGTAGATTCACCTGCACATTTGTAACGCGGTAGAGATGGCACACGTTATATTTGAGAATTGTTACTCAATTACTTCTTCATCATGACCGTCTCACTTCCTGGCCACCCCTTCCTTATAGTACGTCCTGCCAAACAACCTGGTGTGCAAGATACTCACAAAGACGCAAAAGATGCTCGAGGAGAATATAAAGAGCTCTGTGATACAAGTAGATATGACAAAAAAGTCTAAGGACACCAAACTGATCGTAAGGCAAGAACAGGCGCTGGCGCAGTGCTGCAAGGTGATCGTCTCACCAATGCACTTATTCGCCACTTCTCCGCTGCACCAATTCACGCATTCACCAATTAACTCATTGACCAATTAACTCATTGACCCGTTCCCCCTTTTTGAAGATCCTGGGAGACGTGCACGGCCAGCTGAACGACGTCCTTTGGCTATTCAACCGATTTGGCTTACCCTCCTCAAACAACATGTACGGAAGGAAGTGTGCAGATATTGAAGAGGGTTTTTTGAATGAGTGAGCGAGTGAAATTGACTCCACAGTTACATCCAAGCATCCATACGTTACACCTTTTTCATGTGGTCACTCTCCTTCCATTTAGTTACATCTTCAACGGAGACATCGCTGATCGGGGGGAAAACGCCACGGAGATCTTCCTCCTCCTGTTCGCCTTCAAGTTGAGCAGTTACGACAGCGTCATAATTAACAGGGGGAACCACGAGTGCTCCTACATGAACGAGGTGTATGGCTTTTACAATGAAGGTACTGGTCCTTGCCGTGTTAGCCGTTTTAGCGGCGCGTGCATATTTTTTTTTTTTGTCCTTTTTTGCACACACCTCAGCACTACACTGGGGCCACTTATCCCTACCACATCGATGAGAACTTTTTTTTTTTTTTTTTCTCCCCATGTAGTCCTCTCCAAGTACGACAGTGGCGTGTTCGATCTGTTCCAGGGGGTGTTCGAATTACTTGGCTTGGCCGTGAACATTCAGAGTAGGGCTCCTAATGAGCGTGTGGCACGTTGGCTGACTTGGTTTGCCTACATATGGGGTGCAATCGGGAAGGGGTGTGTTCTGCCACCTATCCGTTTTCTACTCCATCCCACGTAACGTCACATTGTTTTTTTCCCCCCC